GTCAGCCACATCTTGCCAATGACAGTGGAATGGTTTTGAACCTCCGTTAGGAAGCGGCCAAGAATGGACCAGTCTCCCATTTCTGTGGAAACACGATGGTTACAACAATATTATTTTTACTTACAGTATTTAGGAACTCACACAGGTCATCCAGGCCAACTGAATCGTGGCCTGGATGACCTAGCCACAATCTTCTTAGGTCACTTCATTTCTCAATAACATAAAAGTATGTGACCAGGCACACTATCTTTTTTTTAAAGAAGAGACATCACAGTGTAGAAATAGTGTTAAAGTCCTGCATTGAACATTTTACTTAAGTAAAAAGTCAAATAATGAAATATCAACATAAAAGTCGTCATTATGTTGTATAGAATGCTTTCTGGTCATCTGATAAATAGATTGTCAAAATGAAATAACCACATTCTTAAGCCAATGTGTGTATACTCTTTTGGGAATTAATACTTGACAAAAGAATGAACACAACACAATAACATGAACACAAAAGTCTCAGGTAAAAGATATGAATAACATTTTACTTCACTTTTCTTGCTATACTGACTATAGCTTTATATGAATTCACACACGAGTAATCAAATAAATAACTTGATTTAACTGTAGTCATTTGTCAATGAAATCAACCTTAGAGTTATGTAAAGTGTAACGTAAAAACAAACCCCAACTTCTAAAATCCCCCAAATTGGATCACATTCGATTTCTGTGACATTTGAGTTAGAATAGGCTCGATAACGTCAATTTGAACAATGCCAAGCCCTAACTGAATCATAATGAAACTGAACTTCTAAGGAAGCAGGAAATGCCCTGCACTAAATGTGACTCAATAGTCTTACCAAGGAAGCAGGTGCATAAAACCGGATGTGTTTGTACATGTATGGCTTTCCAAAATTATAAAGGTTCATATATTGAGCTAGAAATCAACTGTGGATGTATATGAATATCGTAGAATATTGTGTTGTCACAATCTGGCATGACTTTCAGTGTTACTTCTTTCTCTTAATTTATTCAAAATGTTTAGTGTTTAGGAGCAGATACTGCGTTTAAATTACAAGCAGTTTCTCACGTTTACATTCAAAGAGACACCATTTCCTTTAACAGAAATATGTGTTTTTAAAATCCCTTTGGTCTACACATCATTTCTCAAAGTATTCTACATAATCTGCTACTACAAAAAAGATGAACAAGCTCAAAAGTAATCAACTTCTTTGACATTCAATCTGTTCTGCTGTCCTGTAGGACCTTACCTGTGGAGAATCTGAGTTTCCCTTATCCAAAACTGGAAAAATATCAAAGGAAACAATCTGCATAACTATATTTTCGAGTGGAGCCCGTTGCTGGACGTTATCGTGTATTTTGAGCTGGATGTGGGGAGAATGGGCTGACCACACATATTCCCTAACTCTAACTGAAACATTCGTTGCACTGTATGTGAATAAAGGCTTTCAATGTACAGTGGGACAAAGATGGAAATGCACAATGGGGGCACCTTTACTGAACAGCCATTCACAAACGAGCGTAGAGTTCAAAGAACCTGCTGGAAAGAGTGTGCACAATACTGATTCTAGCACCCAACTGTGTCCACTTCCATTATAGAGCTCAAATACAAGTATTGTTTCTCAATGGAAGTGAGAAGAATCAACATATACAAATGTTCATGTCACTTATGATTCAAGTTTTAATAAATATCAGCAACTTAAACAAAAATATATACAACTTTTGATTGCTGTAGAAAGAAATACTGCAAACCGTTTTCATTAAATGTGTTTATTCATAGATTCAACACGAAGGGCCACTTTAACTTCAACAAGCAAAAATAAATGGAGACTTACAATTTAAAGAAAAGTATGAAGTTCTTTAACAATACCTGGTTCTACATATGAGGGCTAAGTTGCAGGAGTGTTGTTTTTGAATTAGATTTCCATTCTGGTAGTTTGTTTTTGAGTTTATAAGAAGAATTTACCTCTTATTGAGGTGAAAACAAATGTGATATACTGTGATAACTGTGCTTGGTTTGCCCATATAATAGAGTGGTTCCGCCTGGTACAACTCCTTTTGTTGGATGATATATTATCCAATAATTAATTGTGATAAACATTATTATTGTCATTTTAGTACCATTTTATGCCAAATAAGGCTATGCTAAAGCAAGTACACCCTTTTATAGAGGGGTGTACTTCTAAATCTCAAGAATATTCTGATATTAGAACTGAAATATACTATACTGGTCATATATCATGAGTCGATGAAAATATAAGAATTTGGCATCATGTCAAAATGTTTTACAACATGTTGATGACGTAATAATTGTGTATTCGTATACTTGTCTAAGTGCATTATATGTTCATTGTCTGATCCTATTAAGCAATCTGAGCCCTGTTGTTGTTGCTGACACATTATCTTAATATGAGAGATTGTTTTTTGTGTTCAAAAATGTAAATTAGAAAACGACAATGGGAATTCTATTGTATCTACAATGTTGCCCAAGCCCGATTTGAATTAATGATCTTGAAATGACAAACAACGGAATGTGTCTTGCGCGTTTGCTCGCTCGGCCTCGCTCGGTTTGGTTAGGCCTTATTAGGCACTTTAATGCTGCGCTTCCATTACAGTTTAGGAACTGGGGTAGTTACTATAGTAACGCAGTGTAGGCGGAGCCGTGACGTCATCTTCAATGAGAGCCCCGGAAAAACAACACAGCCGTTAGCTCTTAGCACTCAGAGCTCACAGCTCCTCATATCTGTTCAGAAACTTGACAAAAGTTAAACAAGTACAAAGTAAACCACAGACTGTCTGTGTCATGGCGAATACAGTCGCTGTTTTATTTATGTCTGTAGGCCGTTGTTGTGAGTGTGGACGGTCGGAGCATATATAACGTTAGCTTAGCCAAGCTCCATTTAGAAAACACGCATTTTAAAAGGGTTTTTCGCCTGCCGTCTGTCTGCAGACTTGTCAAAGCATTAATTCATGGTTTTTACTTACCGGTATCAGTATGTTGTTACTTCGGCATCATTTTGAAACGTGTATTACAATTAAATCACGGTCAAATATGTCCATCTTGTTGTAGTTGTAGCCCCCTTGCCAGCGATTCTCTATCTAGTTTAGCATACTCAGCCCGACTCAGCCTGGTTGTTCCTGGTCCTAGAACCACGATTTTATGTGGCCAGAAAAACTGTGAATTAGGACCCGCTAGCCGGTACTAGGCCAAGTGGAAACGCAACCAAAAACGGGCCCCGCACGGCTCGGCACGCTTAAAGCGAGCTACCCGCTGCAGTGGAAACGCGCCATTAAGGCCAGCTATTGGTGCTTATGAAGGTCATCTGGCATTGCCTTGCCTACTATTCCTGAAACCCCACGCTGTGTCATTTTCTTCTTGACTGTCTCCAAGGTTGAAGGTGTCATTTGACCAGACTCGGCCTCCACCATTCTTAACATTGTCTGACTTCATCATGCATGAAGTAAACAGAGATATATCATGAATTAATTGGTGTCCCACAGTAATGTATCACATGTTCTCTTCTATCAAAAGACTAAATTAAAGTCCAATGTGTGAAACATCTTTGAGACTGCTGCAAAAACATATTAATGCAGCTATGATTCATTCCATTGTGATACAGTTTCCAGTCTGCTGGTTGAGTAATCATTAGTTATACAATTTGATGATGAATGACATGCTATAGCACAGTGAAGGACACATCTGCCTTTGGTTCAAAGAAGACTTGTGATTAACACATGTCTGATTCATTTGTTGAAAGAAAGCTGACAAGATATGGTTTGTAGAATAGTGAGACTCAGAAAGTGTCAAGTCTCATTTTCAGAGATAGAAGTATGTCGATTTTTTGTATCTACTACGTCCACTTTCAGTTTGAAATATTCAGCAGCCTTGATATGTCGCCTAGGCAGAGCCAAAAATGCTGTGTGTCAATCAGCTGTGGGTGTAATAACTTACTCAGATCTTTTACTTTATGTCGAAGTAGTAATACCACTGTGTTGTGTTTTTTTATACAAATAAAATAACTTAGGGGGTGGGAGGGTGTCCGGTGCCTTGCTCAAGGGCACCACGACAGGGCAGGAGGTGAACTGGGACCTCTCCAAGTAGCAGTCCACACTCCATATTTAGGTCTGGTCAGGGACTTGAACCGGTGACCCTATACAGCTCACAGTCCAAGCCCCTACTGACTGAGGCACTGCCGGATGGTAACTACTCAAAATTGTGAGTACATATGTTTTGTTAATGTAGGCTTTCTAGTTACTGGCCCCCAGTGTTGAGAATAATCAGAATAATTATTTATTTTATGTTTTGAACAGCTATCAGCTTTTTATTCATTGCTATGATTTCAAAATCATATCATAGTGAAAATAATCATAATAAACACAGCCATACATTTAAAATAGTAGTTAATTCAGTGTAAATGGTCAATTCACAGTCAAGGAATGGACTGGGTGTGTTATGTTGGTCCACTGGAGGCAATTTGTCCAGTTAATGGGTTCTGTCGTTTTCATTCATCCCCATCCCATGAATGAAAATAAACTGCTGCGCATGCGGATTATGTCTTACTCCGTTTGGACTTTAATACTTTTCATTGTGGGAAAGAAGCAAGCCCCTATGTTTGTAATGCAGAACAAAAAGTTTTGCGCATCACTTTCTTATAAAAACAAATGTAGCTTTACTGAAACACATTCATATCCCAACCACATGCGACAGCGTCAGACTGCTATAACAAATGCCCCTCGCAGATTCAGCGAAAAACCTCCAGAGGGGAGTTTAGAAATCCAGCTACATCAAATTAATTATGTGACACAAGGGACACGATTCCCATAATGTATTGCACATTTATTTCTGAATTATGTTTAAGTTTTCAGCCTTTTTTTGTTTGTATATATTTTATGAGCCACGAAAACAATTACACCTATTATGTTTTAACGTACTAAATTTAAAACGCACCCCCCTAAATAGTATGTGAAATGGTTCAGCCCGTGAGGTTACCGGAAGTTGTTTCAGCTGCCATGTTTGGTTGCTTTGTTGTAGGCTTCTACAAGATTTCCTACAGAATTAGTAAGTGTGGAAATGGAGCCGAGCTGGAGTACGTTTCTTTTTCAAGTAAGTTGACTCATTAGGAGGGAAACCGGGATATTTCGTAAAACAACCTTTAAATAGGTTAGCACTGGATTTCTTAACGGTAAAACCAGTTTTTAAACGAGTATCGCCAAGATCAAGTAACCAAGCAAAACAATGGTATATGAATCCAGGCGTCCAGCTGTGAGGCTTGGGAATGACGCTAGAACAAAAAATCAATTCTCCTCAACGTGCGTTTGAAAAATATGGCTTGTTTTCTATTGTACGAACACTTATATTACTGATGTTTAATAACTCGACAGCGTTGGGGTTTTTTCAAGTTTGTTTGCCGAGTCGAGGCCAGCAAAACATGCGGGATAATTTGAAGTAAGGCTGGAGGCTGCACCGTTACAATCGAGACAGACCTGTTTTTTTCCCTGTGACTGAGGGCTTTGATCGGACGCCTTCGGATAATGAGATGGCGATTATTTTCATTGTGGCATGGATAATACTACAGATGATTCACATTTAAAGTGGTAGCTGTTTTTAAGCGGTGGATAAGTGTACACGTAGGTTATCTGCTGCTGAGATTTACGAACCACGATTCGCAAGTCTGCGGTGAACTTTCCGCCTCCCTCAACCGGTTCGACAGTAACTAGCCCAGTTAGCTAACGGTGTTTAGGCTGCCTTCATCAAACTCACTGGCTAATGTAGCTTAATTTGGGCGAGGCTAACGCAATGTGCTTACAAAACTAATGTTAAGCGGCTCGATAAGCAGCCCTGTGCAGCTCTCTGTTTACCAAAAATATCTTTATTCGGGAAGACCGTGGTGGAAAGGAATTCAAAGTATGCACACAACATCAGCTAACACTAGCAACGAAGAAGCAGATTTGAAATGAGCAGCAGCATTACGCAATGTAAATCCTTTCAGCCAGAAACTGAGGGCTGCTGTTGAGATTGATATCTGCCACCGTTTAGTGGTTCTCACTAAGATAAAAGCCTTTGTTCAATAAAATGAATGACATGTTTATTTACCATGGCCTGTCTAACCCTAAAACAATTAAGGCTAGTGTGGACGTGAACACCCAGAGTTTTTTTAAAGGGGATGGGGATTAAATGTTTTGCCGCGTTTTTTAAATTGGAATGCCTTTTTTTAAACGTGATATGTGTCCCTTATTATAAGTATATGACCATTATGTGGTCTCTGCTCGATTTCCAAGTCTTACGAGGGATTTGTTGATGTATTCCCTGTGCAGTTATGCCCCAGTGTTTTTTAAGTGGGAGTGATAAACTCCTCATGGGAACAGTGAACTTTAACAGTTTAGTGTCATTCACACAAAAAAACCTTCTTAATCTATCTAATGTACATTCTCCACAGACTTGATGGCTGTTAAGTTAATTCTCATTATTAGCTTCATGAGATATCACAAGTTATTGTTGGTAGTACTGTTGTGTTTGTGTCATTTGCCAATGCAAGCCATACATGTGTATTTAATACATTGTATAGGAATCTGTTTAACCTACAAAGAAACATGTTTACTGTATAACGCTTTACATTCACTGTACAGATAGGCAAATCAATAATTAGGTTAATCAAACTGATGCTGATAGGGTTCCCTGATCGGATATGGAATAGAGGAGGCATATGAAAGTCAAATAACTACAGGGCTCATGTGTGTCATCAGGAAACAGAGAGTCTGGAGGAGGTATAATGACCAGATGCAAGCTTGGAAATCATAAATATGTTAAATGTTAAGATGCATCTTAACGGTGTAGGTAAGGCCCCTGCTGCACAAAGTTAAGTTAATATTACTTATGTTGTGTTTTTAACTAAAGCCCTGCTAAGTATTTGTCAAAAAAGTATGAGTATTGTACTGACTGCTTTTATTATAGTTGTAATACAATTAGGATTAGTTTATTTTCAGTTGTTGTATACATCAACCTTTTGTGGTGTTAGTAGCATTTAGCTCTGCTGTCAGGCTGATCACTTACTTACATCTATGAGAACATTTCTTCCTGGTGAAAAGGGCAGATGGGCAGTGTGGCTTGTTTTGGAGGATCTGGCATCCAGCCAGAAACCTTGCATTTATTATGTACCGCACACTGTTACTCTAAGCTCATGTAAATGTGTGTGCAGTATTCATTCTGTCGCTTGACGTAAGAAGGGACATATTTCATTCAGCTTCCATCCCTTGGCACAGAGCTGTTAGCTTAGAAGTACTGCAATATAATACTTTTAGTAGAAAGGTATGTATAAATTAAAAGATAGTAAACCTATTCTTATTTTAATACATTCGTGCATTTTAAATGTTCCATATTGTTGTGTAAATGAGCCTGACTAATACCATAAGTACAGCTGCCGCTCTTATTTTTTTTAATGTTATGCAGTATGTTTAAATATAAGGAATGGTTTGGCTACAGTTCATGTTGTTCAGACCACTTGAGATCTGGATGTGTATAGTCATATTACAATCCTTCAGTGCCTTACGCTCCATACTGACTGCTTTAGAAACTGCAATAGCTGCAACAAAACAAGGGGAAAACGGAATACATGCTATGTATGCCATCATTCCAGAGGCATTTGGATGACAACTTCCCAAACGTCTAATCAGAACGTGATGTTCAACAGGTGGACACACTATACTGCACATGTTAAACTAGTATAATTTCCCTTACAAGACATGTAAACATTGTTTAAAAATAGCTGATGGTGATTCACTTTGCTTTGATTTGTGGGTATAGCTCCGTTACTTAATACTCTGAACAACTGGCTAAAAATACTGACCATTGCATTTGTTTCATTGGGCACAGAAAACACAAGGTCCTACTGAAACAACCACAATTGCATTATTACTCTGTATTCATGCCTTAGGTAAACATAGGAATTCAAGGTCAATATCTTAGCTCTGGTTTGTTCTCCACCACGGCCCCTGATATATCGTCTGGGTTTTTAAGCTTGCAAGACTTTGTTTACCACTATCTCTTTCAGTTGCCATATGGTGCCTAATAGGGAGCTTACTGTGGAGCTTGTTTTGCTTGAAGCAGGCCTGTTATGTCAAACAGACCCTTTGAAACTACACAAAGTACTTTTAATCATTACTTATGTCAGATATATCAATTAAATAATTTAGTCAACAATAGAGATGTAAGTCCTAGTAAAGGCTTTAACAGTGGAATGTTGGTGATTTATACTGCTTTGCAAAGATTCAACTTATGAGTGGATTTACATCTGTTACAAAGATAACTCACCATTATGTTTTCTCAAAAACACTGAGAAACATGCAAATACTGCATAAAAAGTATTGCTTTGTTTTTGGAAGTTACTGGCTTTGTTTTGACCACTTGTAGCATAACCTATATACCTGTAATTGCCTATTACAAGTACATCAGCATCCCAGCAGCATTCTTATAGCTTTAAAGGCAGGGAAAACCCCACAAACATTGATAACAAAAGTCAAGTTTTGGAAGAGCTGGTGTCAACTCAGCAAACTAGCTAGCAAACAATGTTTTTGAAACTTGTATACAAGTGAAAAACAAATTTGCAAAGTTGAAGAGAAGGCTATACCTATACCAGAATATATTTTTTATTTTGTTTCCTACACCATTTGTTTAGCTCCCCTCCTCCCTTCCATATCAATTAGGGTTTTTTTGTGTAAAAATTGGGATTTCTGCAAGCAGCTGCAACACAAAACATTGAAGAAAGACAAGTGGTTAATCCGACTCAGACCATGAGCTCAATTCAAGTCTACAGTGGCCCGTGGAGCCATCGGGACACTCCCTCCATTTTGATGTTATTTATGAGGGAGCAGCCCCAGTTGTCAGAGCGCATTTGTGTCAAAATGGTCAGAGCTGCATGAAGGCACAGCAGCTTACAGGCCCTGCACCTCTGTATAGAGGCAGGCTGTGTCTGTACTTCACAAAGAGGGTTCCCCGGCTGGTATCCCCCACACAAACATAGAGCCCCCACCCCCGGTGTGCCAGCGCACGGGCTGGCATTGGCATCATGGTGACGGCTAATCCTGGAAGGTGGCAAGTGTGAGCAGGTGCTCAGACAAACGGATGGGTGGGCTTGGTGGCAGTCTCCACCAGTTCCCAGGTCCCATTGCTTACGAGGGAATGACGGTGAGCTTGGTCCAGTAGTGTGTGGATAAACAATGTCCCCGTCTCATGAATAGATGAGCCAAATCAATGAAGATGAGCATACAAAGATCCCCCGCTGAGGCATCACTGCTCAGATTTGTGTCTCTCACAATAGGCTGGATGACATAAGGAGGACACTGTGTGGTTCATTTTTCTTTTCTGTCCCATGCCTTCCCTTTTGCAACTCCTTTTTCTTGGCTGGCCTTCTGAGATGGATGAATGAACCTCAAAGGGAAAGGTCAAGCATTTCACCTTGCCCTTTTCTTGCTGGTGTTCCACAACACAGTCGTCTTGACGTGTTCGTTTACCAAAAGCAACAGCATACACGGTGATAGATTATTTATGTTTTGATATTTGAAAAATGCTTTCCTAGCAAGTTACTATATCATTTTTGTAAGGATATTTTAAGTGATATGGATAAATAGAAATGTTAAATTACCGTAAACCTCCATTCCTATTCATTATGTTTGCCTTCGATGGATGTTGTAAGGGCAGTCCCTAGATAAACAAGAATCTAAGGCCTTTCTTAAGGGGGGTAACTAGGGGTGTCCATATACCAGTATTAACAGTATATATTTAATTAAATAACAATCATTCAGTGTCTCTTAAATCATGCTTTTGTACTGTTCTTCCCTGTACAGTCAAATTTGAAGTCTATGAATACTTTTAATATACGTTTAGTAACAGCGGAAATATCATTATCTGTTATCGTGCATGCGTGCCCGAATTTAGATTTTCTCAAACCTTGTTAGAGCATGACTAACTTAAGCTGACAAACTCCAAGAAAAGTGTCTGTGCCACTGTGATCCACGCTGTTCTGTCTGGTTTAGTGACCTGTATTTGTCTGTAGTGTCAGTGTGTGCACTTCCCTCCTTTACTTCACCATGCCCTCTAACTGAGCTCCTTTGCTGAGCTGATGGCCAGCACTGGACTCGGCTTTGCCTCTTATTTTGGTATGCTTGCTTTGCCGTCACATGACGAATCAGCACTGTCATGATGGGATCATTTTTCATCCTGCATATTTGGATCCCAATGCACTATGAGGCATCACTTCATTAACGCCAGATCCAGTGCCCAGTTTGCATTTTATAACATGTTACTAAGCCTTCAGACCAACCTCCATTGATGGTACTGTCCGTAACACTTGTTGTATATTTGATCATTCTTATGCAGGCTTGGAATTTAGAGTTTATTGACTGAGTGGGAAAGGCCAATAATAGAAGAGCTAAAACACTCTGCCAGATTCAGAAACAATTACATAACGTTACTGTAATGCAGCCTTTTAAAACAGTAAAAGACAACATTTGGGATATGACAATATTCCAAATCTAAGACATTATCTTGTCTCGAATCACAATATCTATATAGTGATATATTGACCAGCCCTACCTTCAGTTGTATTTGCTTTCATGTAAAATGCTAGTTTTAATTGAAGACAAAACCAAATGTTCATCTCTGTGTGTCTGTTTGCTTCATCAGCAGGCCAATGAAGCCCTCCACCACCAGCATCATGTGGCCCAGAACAGCCTGCTGCCACTTCTCAATGCAGGAGTCGAACAAATTGACCAGAAGCCTATCCTGCCCATCCACATAGAACAGAAGCCCCCGACCAGCGCTGCAGAACTCCTTAAAGACAATGTGGCCAGCGGAGGAGGCGGACGGCCACAAGTTCCCGTCATTAAGAAGGAACACAAAGGCAAGACGCCGTTCGTCTGTGGCTACTGCAACAAGGCCTTCCGCGACAGCTACCACCTGCGGCGCCATGAGTCCAGCCACACTGGCATCAAGATGGTGTCGCGGCCAAAGAAGACCGCCCAGTCAGCCCCGACCATGGTACCCATGATCTCCACCATGTCGCGAGACCACAACGGCCACCCCTCCTACATCTCCACGGTGGCGGGAATCCTCTCCACGGCGACCACCTCGGTTTCCTCGGGCGCAAGCATCATGACGTCGTCTGCAATGGGCAACATGCAACAGCAAAACACCCCCAAGAAACCCGCCAAACCGGTCAAGAAGAACCACGGGTGTGAGATGTGCGGCAAGGCCTTTCGCGATGTCTACCACCTGAACCGCCACAAGCTGTCCCACTCGGACGAGAAGCCTTTCGAGTGCCCCATCTGCCAGCAACGCTTTAAGAGGAAGGACCGCATGACCTACCACGTTCGCTCTCATGACGGGGGGGTTCACAAGCCTTACGTTTGTTCAGTGTGTGGGAAAGGCTTTTCCAGGTAAGAGCATCATTTGATTAAACTTAACCACGGCTGATAAGATGCATTCATGTCAACAGTGCTCTATGATGAGTGAAGAAGATGTATAGTTTGCGATTAGTAACACCTGCAACCTTAAAAACAACATTTTTGACAACATGAAGGTCAGGGATTCTGGATCTTTCAAAAGGCATTCCTAAACCTTAATAAACACCTTAATTAGTCTTAAAATGTCTTAAATAATGTTGGTGCAGTTTTCTTACCATGAAGAACATACAGTTAAAAATTATATTTGGCATAACATAAGTTTTGCGTATGCTTTAAAATATAATACTTAATGTACACCTCTGATGTGAATACATTTGTCTTCATGCTCACAAACAGACTGGCCGACCCTGAGCGAGGGACGGCCGTAAAGTGCTTGCAACAGATTTCATGGGGAGATAACATGACCCGTTTCAAATGTCTTTGTACATTCCTCGTACAGCTTCTGAGGTCCTGGAATAAGCTCTTATGTCACCTCTTAGACCAGAAGTGTAATATTCAAAAAGAAACATGACACAGTTTGTTCATAAACAATCATTTGAAATGACTTCAAGTGTATTAAACTTACACTGATATGTCGTTGAATAGTTATACAACTATTTAGTTTTGAGTTGTTTTCATGGCTTGTTTCACATAGTGATATAATAGGCAACCTTACTGAGTAAAATGAGCACCCCACACATGTGCAGCATGGACTAAAGCAACAGTTTAAACTTTTTTAGCTATAGTCCAAATGATTCAGTAAAAATGCTTCTTAAGACAGGCTCATTGCAGCCTTGGACTTCCATAAACAGGAAGTGGATGTGTCTAAAATGTGCAATCTAGGCCTTTAAATATGTTGCTGCGCGACATTCCCTTCCAGTGAAACTCTTCTGTATGTGTATCTGAGTAAGTGTTTGGTTAGCAGGAAAGAGGACAATGCACTGTGACGATAGCACAATATCAATCGGTGAAAAAATGGGGGCAAATGCAAAAAAGAAGATAAAAGTAATATGCTTTCAATCAACAAGTAACAAGGCAATCGTAAACAGGATGTATGCTTCTTATATTTAATGTATTCCTATGTTAGTGGGTGAGAATAATTTCACTCTGATGGTTGGATTCCAGGGTCATGTAGAACAAGCTTGACTTGTCTTCATAGAAAACATAACATGATGATAAACAAAAACAAAAAAAAGAAGCATTTTATTCATTATGTCAGTCAAAAATAAAGCTTTTGCTCTGTTAAGTAAGAAGAAAATGCTTGCTACACTGAATCCCAACATTCACTTTACACATATGTATTAAGCACAGGCAATGCAAAGAGACATGGGTGCACCTTTCTTTATTTTTACTTTACCAAAAGTTCATTAAAAGCAACCATATTGCTTTTAACAACCTATGACTTGTCTGCGAGCGATTCAGCCAGCTGTTTGGATAAGTCAGCCGCACCAGGATTATATATAGAGGGAGGATTGTATGGTCCATATAGTGTGTGCATGTAGCCTTCTACAGTGGCTGTGTGTTTTTCTTTTCATATTTATTAATGTGCTACGCAGTTTAAATTTGTACTTGTATTGACCCCCACACCATTTCAACCACATGGTTCAACAGTCGCACATGGGAGAGCACCAGTGGTAGATTATCAAGGTGGGGGGAGGGGGCGTCACTTGTCACTTTGCGGTTCCCGCCAGCATGTCACAGACTCTCTTTCCCCTGGGAATGCAGTGATCCGTGCGCTAACGCTCAGGTCAACACATTTAGTATGTAGGGGATAAATATTTTGGGTCTCGGGTGTCTTTAATTTTAAATGTATAGACACACATTCACTGTTTTTTTTTTTAAAGAGCCAAAATATCAGAAGAGTTCTTGACATAAACATCAGCAGTGCACCCTAGCCAAGCTGTAACATTAGCACCATGCTGTGTAGGGCAGTTTCAGGCAGGCCTCCAACACTGTGACGTGGGGTTAGGGATTCATCAGCAGACTGGAAAGTGAGAATAGGGACTGAAAACAGGCCACTGAGTCACTGCCATTCAGCCACATACGTACGCAGTCACTGTCTGAGCTTGTTGTCAAAGGGGCACAAACAAATGAAATAGGGGGCGAAACAGATTGAATGGCACTACTGGGAAGATTCCACTTTACCCCTCTCATTGAGTAAAGAAAAAATTCAATCCAGCAGCGTGAAACTTTCCGGTTTGGAAGCAGCTGCCAATGCTGGAGCCGTCCTTACTCACTCCATTATGGCACTTCCAACATGACTCAGCTTCAGGCTGACAGGAGGATCAGTGCCAAGAAAGAATTTGTTTCACTGTAAAGGTCAAGAGGCAAAGCTTTTGCTCGCAACTGCTGATATGCACTGAGTAGGGCGGCACAATATATTGACATTTTATCAAAATCACCATATGCACTAGCCAATATATTCATATATTTATCCAAATCGTGCAGCCCTAGCACTGACCATTAAATAATACAACTGAGGAATGTGTTTTATTTTTTGAGTTTATTTATTTGAATAAAGCCGTATATTTGCATACCACTGTTTTCTTTTCTTTTTTTAAGTTATGAATATATATTTGAAAAATACCGTCTGTAGAAAAAGATTGCATCACCTGTTATAGTCATGTTTTTTTTTTCCTGTAATTTTAATTTGTATCAGGTACTTGGAACATGTTAATGGTTCAACTTGAGTCATAATGCAAAACTAAGTGTAAAGGCAAGTGGCTCAGTCAGTAGGGGCTTGGACTGGGAGCTGTAGGGTCGCCGGTTCAAGTCCCCGACCAGACCTAAATATGGAGTGTGGACTGCTACTTGGAGAGGTCCCAGTTCACCTCCTGCCCTGCCGTGGTGCCCTTGAGCAAGGCACCGGACACCCCCCTTCCCCCCCCACTCCCATTGTTCCCCGGGCGCTGTACAATAGCTGCTCACTGCTCCTAGTACTGGACTCCTGGTACGAGGATGGGTTAAATGCAGAGGCCAAATGTCACTGTGTGCTCTGCATGTGTGACCATTAAAGAGGGTTTTCTTCCCTCCCAATTCTTCTATTCTAAAAGGCTAAAAAAGCTTGGCTGTTTTTTACATTCTAAAAGGTGATAGCCATGGTCAGCCTAATTACTCACATTTGTATATGTTAACATGCATTTGAAACTTTCTCATAGTCGCTTTATAAATCCAATAATTCAATCCCTTCACTGCATTAACAAAGTTATACTAACTTTGTGACCTACATAGCCTCTTACAAATCCTCAGTGAGAGATATTGTGCGGTCAAGGGTTAAAGGAAACCACAAGCTAAATTCCTGGGATTTTTCTAAAACATTCTTTTCATATTTCTGTAAGTAACTCCAATGCTGCAAGAGAATACACAGAAGTAGTGTAGCCTATTGCTAAACCGTTACTTTATCCCAGAAAACAAGTGGACAAATGTACCACCTCTATGTGGTGCTCGTTGGAAACTAGGTCAAACTAATTCACGCACCATTGATCATGGAGAAGTAACTGCCATTGACTGACATTTTTGGGACTTCTTTTGCACCCATCACCTCATTATGGAAGCAAACGGAGCACATCCATATGTTTCCACACTTCTGCACCCGCCATTTAAAGATGACATTAGGCTTTGTGCTCTAACATGTAGTGTTCCTTGTCAATAAGCCTAGATAAACACACTTGTGTATGTTTGTATCTGTGGTCAAATCACAAGTAAAGTAGATGTAACCCCAAAACATTTGTCTATATATAGTCAACATTGAAGAGGCCCTATGCTCATTTTCAGGTTCATATTTGTATGTAGTCCCTCTACTGTGACATGTCTCCATGCTTTAATATTCAAAAGTTCTTTTCTCACACTGCCTGTGCTGCAGCACCTCTTTTCACCCTCTGTCTGAAACCAGAGCCCAGTCTGCTCTGATTGTTAGTTGGCAGACTCTGCTGTGATTGGTCAACCGCTTAGAAACGTCCCGCCCCTTAGCCTATCATGTACAATGTGTTGGAGCGCTAGCCAATAGAAGCGCAAGTGTTACATAGTGATGTCACTATTTTATGGCAGTATGAGAAAACAAATCACTTTGAACATTAAAGCATGTAATCATGTCACTGTAGGAGCACTAAATATGAACCAGAAAATGAGCAGAATAGGGCCCCTTTAATCAGCTTGTGTCAACTTAAAGTTCTGTGCTACAAAGATGGTGTGGAATCAAAACACCATGCTCTGTTACTCATCTGAACGTCATGGAGCTCACAGCATCAGTCCAAAGATTGAATGTGTTGTGTTGTTTTGTTCTCCCAATCTAGGCCAGACCACTTGAGCTGCCATGTGAAGCATGTGCATTCCTCAGAAAGACCGTTCAAATGTCAAGTAACGGTAAGAGTCTTCACTGTGCACTTCCAAATGACCATCATTATCATTCATTTTGTTGCTGTTCTCCTCTGACCTTTGACCCTGTGTTGTGTGCGTGTGCAGGCCTGTACCTCTGCTTTTGCCACCAAAGACAGACTGCGCTCCCACATGATCAGACATGAGGGCAAGGTGACCTGCAGCATCTGTGGGAAGATGCTGAGTGCAGCGTACATCACCAGCCATCTGAAGACTCACGGACAGACCAACTTCAACTCCTGTAACAAAGGTACGACACACACCTCTAACATCACAAATGGAAGGTCTGCAGCAGATAACAGGATTTCTACAAATCTTTAGTCATTGTATTTGGCTGACGCTTTTAGGAAAAGCCTCTTACATACTCTTAAAAAACTCAATTCTGTAAGTCTAGGTTTTTACAGCCCTCTCCAACACTGTTGAGATATTGGCAGTGTGGCAGAAATCTTTTTTTAATAAGTTAAATTAAAGTTGCTGCCTCCTTTTTTTTTTTAACCTATCAATTGTTTAATGATTAAATCATTGATACTCAGAACAACTTTTTCCCAAAAATCTCCAAGACCATTTTGGCCGATTGTAAGTCATTGTAAAATGCAGCACACAACATAAACAAAGGTTGAGAATGATATGAAACATCATAAATAATTATTACACCAGGCTTCCGATTATAGTCAATGGTGAAACTCCAAATGTGAGCCATGTTTCTTTAAACCCCTAAAAAAAGACAATAGTGAGTCCTACATAATACATAGAATGCAACCTAAGAAAGAGAGGATAAAACCAAACATGCATTATTTAATAACTATTTAACATGTATTTTAAAAGGAAAGGAATATTCCCTATGTATCTCTAGTTATGTTGACCACAATTATTCACATCCAATGTCTTATTATGGCATAGTTTACACAGAAATGTGCTTATAATATTGGCAGGTATAAAATGATTGGCTAAGGTACATGTCCAAACAAGCTGCACCTGGATAAACACACACACACTGGCCCGTCCATCAACATTTTTTCACAGGGAAAGATGAAAAGAATGTTAGTCATCAGTACATGTTCAATCCCATCACCCCGCCCTAATCCTGGTTGTTAAAAGTATAAAGTTTCGGTACTGTTACGCAACATTAGATTGGGATTATACCGTGGGTTTGGCCCATTTAGCTCTGCTTTTATCTTAAAGGTCACCTATTATACTGTGTTTTTCATCAATATATTATAGTTCTCAGATATGTACAAAACATGTCTCTGAAGTGTTTGGCTCCAAACACCAAACGGATCATTGTAGCATTACCCATAATCCCCTCTGTTTCAGCCCTGTTTTCAAAATGCTGATTCTCTGTCTGTTACTTTAGATGAAAATAAGGAGCCCCTCCCCACGCCCCTCTGAGAGATATTTGGTTAAAAAGAACTCAATGGTGCTCTCGGAGGAGATTCAGGTGATGAGGGGGGGGGGGGGTTACCTTGGTTGGTGATTGGCTGATGGTTACACACCAAAAAATCGTTATGACATCATAAAGTGGCCAAAATCTGATCAGCTCATTTTCAGACAGGTTTTTATAGAAATGGATCAGGACAAAAAGAGAGAGAATCTTTTTCCTGAAACTTTCAGAGTCTCTTTCCACAGAGGGGACGGACACATGCTGATGTAGAAAAGACATGAAAAAGTCGATTTTTCATAATAGGTGACCTTTAAATGACTTTGAATAATTAGTAGTTAAACGCTCTTTCTTGTGTTTCCCCAGAGGGTAACGGAGTCTGCAACTCTAACTCGGCTACACCCGTGACCATCTCTGCCCCCATCACCTCTTCGATGAACCGGGGCCACTCCAACCACCCAGTCACCATCGCTGCTCAAATGAACATAAGCACCAACACGGTGAACGTGATGTCTGCGATGGGCCTCCAGCACCCGGTCACCATCAGCGGGCCCATCAACATCTCCTCCCTCAACATCCCCACATCGGGGGCAATGAATATCGCCCACCCGGTCGCCCTAACGACCGCCATGTCCATGAATATGGGCGGTCCGCTCAACATCGCCATGAGATCAATGGATAGCATGCCTTTTCTGTCCCAAGTCTTGCCTTCTTCCCCACCCTGGTAACGTGGAGGGTGTTGAACTGGGCCAGAGAGAAAGGGAAAATGAAGTTAAACAAGAGACTCCTGTCCTCCCCCAACCCCCTACACCCCTCCATTATGTTTACCCCCCCCCCTGAAGTGGACATTTACACGAGCTGTGCGGCCGGTAGGAGCTCCCCGAGTCACAGCTAGTGTTAAAGTGACTGACACCAGATGCAGAACACTCGAGTAGAAATCGCGTAGGATTGATCTTGAAATCAGGACAAGACTTTAGAGTAGTCAGTTAGAGTGATGAAACTGTGATTTGTATAACGAGAAACAAGAGGAGACCATTCCTCGAAGGACTCCGTAGGAAAAACACCCCTGTGCTTTTGTAAAAGGGAGATGAGAAACGGACTGAAGCAATAACTATGATTGCTGTTTTTGGTGTTTTTTTGCAAGTTCTCTCCCAAAGCCTCTGGGTGTTACTTTGTATGTTTATTTTTATTTTTATTATAGCCTGCTAATCACTATTTAATGTTATAGGAAATGAGTCTAGTAAAAGGGACAGCCGCTTCCATTTGCATGGAAGTACAGTGGGGCAAAAAAGTATTTAGTCAGCCACCAATTGTGCAAGTTCTCCCACTTAAAAAGATGAGAGAGGCCTGTAATTTTCATCCTAGGTACACTTCAACTATGAGAGACAGAATGAGGGAAAAAAATCCAGAAAATCACATTGTCTGATTTTTAAATAATTTATTTGCAAATGATGGTGGAAAATAAGTATTTGGTCAATAACAAAAGTTCATCTCAATACTTTGTTATATACCCTTTGTTGGCAATGACAGAGGTCAAACGTTTTCTGTAAGTCTTCACAAGGTTTTCACACACTGTCGCTGGTATTTTGGCCCATTCCTCCATGCAGATCTCCTCTAGAGCAGTGATGTTTTGGGGCTGTCGCTGGGCAACACGGACTTTCAACTCCCTCCAAAGATTCTCTATGGGGTTGAGATCTGGAGACTGGCTAGGTCACTCCAGGACCTTGAAATGCTTCTTACGAAGCCACTCCTTCGTTGCCCGGGCGGTGTGTTTGGGATCATTGTCATGCTGAAAGACCCAGCCACGTTTCATCTTCAATTAGGGCTGCAACAAACGACTAATTTGATAATCGATTTATGAAACAATTAATCGACTATTCGGACTATTATGCCTTGCACAATTTCTCAAACGCTCTTATTTAGCCATCAACTTTTAGATTTAGCTTGAGGTTGTTTTAGGCATGTGGAAACTAACAATGAAGACAATAAAGATGAATACTTGATTCAAAAATACATATTATTAAATTAACTTAACACATTTTGAATAAAATTAACATTGCTTTTTATTTAAATTAAATAAATAATATTTCACATCAAAAGAAACAACAGTGTTTTAACAAATCGTATTAAATAATCTGATGACAGACTGTAAACAGAATAGCTGAAACTTTAACAAAATAAATACCTCAGTTTCCTCTAATCATTAACCCATGTTTGTATAATGTAGTTAACTCCGTGTGTTGCTGCTAGCATACAGAACACCTGACGTGGAAACGTTACTCGTGATGGAGCTACAGAGCTGCTAGAAAGACGGTCGAACCCGGTACATTCCTCCGTCTGCATGCGGTGCACTTTTGCTAAATGTTTAGACAAATTGCTCGTGCTTACATGCTAAACTCTTATTGCACTTATGGCAACGAGCATTGTCCACATCGAGACGGGTAAAGTTTAACCACACCTCGGAGCGCGTTCTCTCCGCCATCTCCGCAGTGTGTTGCTGCATGTAGCAGCCGCGTGTGTGTAAACTGCCCCGCCCCCTCGCACACAGACGGGGGAGAGAGATCTTGTCTGATCGAAAATACATCATTGACGCATTTGTTGTCTTTGCATATTAGAAACGAGTTGGCGACACTAAGACTACGATATAATGTTTATGTAGCAATAATACATGACATATATTTTTTAAATGTCTCCAGTACCGATAAAAAGACCAATAACGTTGGAGCTTAACGGCGCGTAAAACACACGTGATGACGTCACTCGACGAATGAATTAGTTCGCAACTGATTTGGTAATCGATTAGTCGATTAGTATGTGCACCCCTATCTTCAATGCCCTTGCTGATGGAAGGAGGTTGTCACTCAAAATCTCACGATACATGGCCCCATTCATTCTTTCCTTAACATGGATCAGTCGTCATGGTCCCTTTGCAGAAAAACAGCCCCAAAGCATGATGTTTCCACCCCCATGTTTCACAGTAGGTATGGTGTTCTTTGGATGCAACTCAGCATTCTTTCTCCTCCAAACACGTTGAGTTTTTACCAAAAAGTTCTATTTTGGTTTCATCTGACCATATGACATTCTCCCAATCCTCTTCTGGATCATCTAAATGCTCTCTAGCAAACTTCAGACGGGCCTGGACATGTACTGGCTTAAGCAGGGGGACACGTCTGGCACTGCAGGATTTGAGTCCCTGGCAGCGTAGTGTGTTACTGATGGTAGCCTTTGTTACTTTGGTCCCAGCTCTCTGCAGGTCATTGACGGTCCCCCCGTGTGGTTCTGGGATTTTTGCTCACCGTTCTTGTGATCATTTTGACCCCACGGGTTGAGATCTTGCTGGAGCCCCAGATCGAGGGAGATTATCAGTGGTCTTGTATGTCTTCCATTTTCTAATAATTGCTCCCACAGTTGATTTCTTCACACCAAGCTGCTTACCTATTGCAGATTCAGTCTTCCCAGCCTGGTGCAGGTCTACAATTTTGTTTCTGGTGTCCTTTGACAGCTCTTTGGTCTTGGCCATAGTGGAGTTTGATGTGTGACTGTTTGAGGTTGTGGACAGGTGTCTTTTATACTGATAACGAGTTTAAACAAGTGCCATTAATACAGTTAACAAGTGGAGGACAGAGGAGGCTCTTAAAGAAGAAGTTACAGGTCTGTGAGAGCCAGAAATCTTGTTTGTTTGTAGGTGACCAAATACTTATTTTACCGAGGAATTTACCAATTAATTCATTAAAAATCCTACAATGTGATTTCCTGGATTCTTTCCCCCCATTTTGTCTCTCGTAGTTGAAGTGTACCTAGGATGAAAATTACTGGCCTCATCTTTTTAAGTAGGAGAACTTGCACAATTGGTGGCTGACTAAATACTTTTTTGCCCCACTGTATATATTTTCACAGTGCTATAGCGTTTCTTTTTCTCCTCTGATAGTAGCTCTTGAGGTACAGTGACTAACTTGTACAGTTGACATAATAATGTATTTCCATGTCAGCATTTTTCATTTCTTGCTTTTGTCGATCAAGCGGACGTCTCAACGCGAGACCCTCTTGAAAAAGAAATGTTTTGGGGGGGGTTTGCTAACGGTATGGAAACAAAAAGGTTTGTATTTTTTATTTAGCCTTTTTCGTTGTTTTCAGTTTTCCATGAAATCAGTATGGAATGAGTCTTGCACTGAAAGCATATCCTACACAGGTGGACAGCAGTATTATCAAAGATCAAATTGGAGTGTTTCGGTTAGCCAGCCTGCACTTGACCGCCATCTAGTGGCTGAACGTGGAACAGCCTGGCCTTGTTGTGAAGCTTTTTCAGGCTCTTACTGTCGTCACAATGGTAACTTATTCGTTTTGTCTGACTCTTCTGTACACTGTTATTTCTTTTAAACGATTAATGTTATCTCCCCAAGACAATGCTAAGGACCCTTCACTCAGGAAACACACATACAAATCCCATTTCACATGGACTTGGTTCCTTTTTAAATTGACTAAATCTGTCCCTTTTTTGGATTCCCCATATCATTTAGCATTATCCCATTGTTCGACTTTACTACAGTCGGGGACAAACAGTCTAAGAATCATTGATTTCAACAAAGCCGTCCATTTAAGTAATAATTCACTGTGCAATGGCATACATGCTGTACTTTTTTTTCCTTTTACATTTTAAAGGCAAGTTCAGCCTCTGTCTGAGATCTGAATGATAGAAATGTGTCCGAAAAAAAGAACAGGACAGGATTGATGTTGCATGACCCCCAAACACTAGCTGTTGAACATTTGTAATGAATGCCATGTTGCAGCTCTGTGTAAATGCAATATGCATGTTTGTCACCCCCCCACCCCCCCTCCGAGTTTTGTTTAAAACAAAATACTAGTGTAGATTTTTCTTTGTTTTTATGCATTTACGTAGATACACTATGATAGCCTGTTTGCCAAATTTGATACGATAATAATGTGATAAACTGAACATTTCTGGTGGAATGGATGTCTTTATTTTTTAGGAAAAGAAAAATAATTGAAATTCCAGGACCCTTGTGAAAGCAGTTGAATGTATATCTTTGTACAAAACTATTTTAGTTCCAAGGATATGGTAGTTACAGTAGATGTGAAAGATAAGATTTTTATAAATCTTTTGTATTAGAACATTAACAATGGTAATTTTGTATATATGAGAGGCAGGCTTTCTGATTAGCAGAAAGGTCAAACATTCCTACATTTTTCTAAATGTATGTTTGTCAAATTATTACATAAACATGCGCAATGTTATGTGCCTTTTATTTGGGTTGTCTAAATAAAAGAAAACTATCAAATGTGTTTATACGTATTAAGTTCATTACTATTTAACACATTGACAGGGAATTTCCAGTGTTATAAATAGAAGCTTGTTCTTGTGTCATTGAACACAACACTTAATGGTGTGCAGACTCAGCTGGGGAAACGACAACATGTTTAGTGCTCAACTTTGACATTTTATAAAACCTAATCCAGAAAAGCTTTCTTTATTACAAACACCAACTCTAGTTTTGTTCCTCTTTGAAGGTCCCTTATTATACTCTTTTTCAACAATATATGATATCTCTCCGATATATACAAAACATGTCTCTGAAGTGTTTGGTTCCAAAAAACACAATGGTGCTCTAGGAGGAGAGTAACACCTGCCGACCTCATCACCGGTGGGCGGGTGTTACTTGGTTGGTTAGTGGCTAATCGTTGCCCAACCCAAATACATTTGCGAAGTGGCCAAATGTGATTAGCTCATTCTCAGACAGGTTTTTAAATGGCTGTATCAGGCGAAAAGTAGACAATTTCCAAATCCCTTAACACACTGTAGACACATATTTATGTATAAAAGACATGAAAAAGCGGATTTTGCATTACAGGTGTGCTTTTGAAACGGCAGTTTTTTCTCTTCACACATTCTGATATCCTAACACATCCTAACAATTTTTCAAAACACATTGCTAGATTTTAGTTTGAGTTGCCTTTCCACGCAGCAACTGGCTTTCAATTTATTTTGCTTTATGATACAAATCTACAGTCCGGTTTTACATAGAGTACAATTAAACTTTTAGTAAAAATGAATTCAAATGAAAATATCAAATGTTAAGAATAAATCAAACCTCTGGCGTGATTACATTAACAGATGCAGCTTGTTCATCACCCAGTGTTTCCCCTACCAACGGAGCCCCAGCCCGAGCCCCCCCTGAAATCTTTTAAAAAAAAAATACATATATATATATACAGCACCAAATTGCAACTGAAGTAATCTATCAACGGTCACTTTTCACATTGAACATGTGCTCTTTTATTAAGTAAACTAAACGCTTTCATTTTAAGTTGTGAGTTTAGTGTTTTTGACCCTAAGAAACACTGATGCATTAATCAATAACAATAA